TTATTGCTGACTGTCTTTTCCTTTGCTGGGCCAGGTAATACAGGAGAGGTAGAAGACATCATGGGTGTCCGGTTGCTTGGTATCTTTTTCCCAGAAGTGCTTAAATTTACTGGTGAGGAAAAATTTATGTTGCTGGAAGTAGATACATTTTCATTGACCTTGGGCTGAGATTTGGATTTGGTGGTAAGTGCTAGAGGAGCCTCCTGAATGACGCTCTGAATAACTCCATTGGGTTGATGGTTACCTAAAAGTGCATTGGTCAAAAAAGGATTAGAATGGTTGTTTTCTAAAGAGGTGTGTTTTTGATGAGCTGGTGATGAACTAGTTGGCTTTGGACTTGATAATGCTGTGATGACCTTCTTCAGGCTCTTGGATGACTCACTTTGTTTCTTCAACTGTGCTGAGAAAGTTTGTTTGTACTGTTCCTGCAGACAAGCACAAAAGACAACAAAAGGTATAACAAAATATTACCTGACATATTCATAGATGTTTGGATCTGAAAAACTGACTTTAAATGGATGGGTGGACTTAACATTATGAAAGGTAAGTCTGTAGAAGGTTACCAGCAAGGATGGCTGTGCACCGACCTTTAGTGTTAGAGGCAGTGTGTCTCTTGATGCTGTAGAAAACTAGTGGGAAAGTACTAATGCCCTTCATGCCCTTAAAGGCTTCCCAAAACATTTGTTTGGCCACTGCAAGAATGTAATATTGGGGAAGGTATGTCTTTGATCTGATCTAAAACAATTTTTCATATATTCTGGTACATTGTTGTGTAGCCAAGGTAGCTGCCTTCAAAAATACATAACCAAAAATTAGAATAATGCAGAATAATTCTAGATTCATCTATAATAATCTAGAATTGTGACACAATCTGTTGTAGGAAGAAAATAATATGTTATCTGCCATTCTAAAACATCTACCACTTGAGTAGGAAAGAGATGGGAATATTCTAATAATAAATGATATAAGATCTCTCATTTTAACTTCCAAGACATTTATTTGATTTACTTGAACCATGCTAATATTCACAGAGGTTACCTATGAAAGAAGATCAAGATATAAGTCTAGTCCTGCTTACCTGGAAGCAGGCTCCACTATGACCAATAGGACTTAAATCTGAATAAACCGGATTTAGTAATAAGATGTAAGTAAGTTATCATAAGCATTCCAATAGAGAAAACATTAGGCAAGGGATGGAAAAAGCATAGCTTGCAGGCAGGGCACATCTCAGGGCCATATCTGTGACCTGCCAGAGGCCTTTCAGTCTTCCCACTGTTCTTATTTTTTTAAAAAAACTAAAAAATTATTTCCACTCCTGGAGGCTTCCAGCACTGATGGTTTTCTTTTAGAACATGGTGGAACCCACCCACCTACTGTCTTCTCAAATAAAAAATTAAATAAAGAAACCAGAAGTGGAATTAACACTTAGAATTCTGCTTTTTGAAAAATAAATTTGAGCCCTTCCATGCAATCACAGTTGCTCCCTGAAACATTTGAAGTTGGCCATCCCCGTTTTAGTGGGTAGCTGATGCTAAAATGCTTAAGTCTTTCCAACTGTGGTCTTATAGACTTGCTCATTCAAAATCTTGACGTCAAATATCATTCATGTGAATACAAATCAAATAAAAACACAAGTAATGTGTAAATGTTAGTCATAAAATGTGGACAATAATAGAAACAAAAATGAACTAAATAACATAATCAAGTGGTGTAAAAGGGGAGAGTATAATGTTTGGAAAAAAAGCATGATGTGACAGTACATTCCATATTCTCTAGACGAGTAACATTCCTCTGATAAATGGACACCTGTGGATACAACTCTGTGTAACCACAATAACAAAAATGAAGAGAGAATGTAGTCATTCTTCTGCATGCATTTTATTTCCCATCTATCCTTTCTTAGAGTGTGAGTTTCCTAAATACCATCTGCATAACAAAAATCCTAGTATCTTTTCTTGCAAGTGTGTAATGGATAGTATAAAAATATAAATTTTCTAAATTGAATGTATTCAAACCTTTCTGAACATTCCCAGGTAGCAGAATTCCCTCCCGTGGGAAGTTTGGTTGGCTCCCTTTCTGCTCCTTTTCTGCTTGCAAAGCTCTTTTTATTTAGGCAAGGTTCTTGCTCTTAATTCATATGGTTTAAAAAGCTTTTAATGGTATATGTTGTGCTTTTATCTTTTTCACTATCTTTTAAACTGTTTTAACTATGTTCTTATTTTTACTTCTGTACTAATAGGCTGGAATTCATTATCACAATTGCAAATGGGTAACCTAGAGTTATGCACTTGTTACTGATTTGTATTCATGGTCCCTATGTATTCAACAGAGTAATAAGGAGTACATTGGGACTGGCAAAGTCTCCAGTACTGTTTTATTGGGCAGCAGCCACTGCAAGCAACAGGGATCTGTTCTCCCATCAACCTGTGTTCATCAGATCCTACCATGAGTGATCTCTGGTGCAACAGTCAGAAGTAGAAACCCTGTCACAATTCCTCCTTGCACTGGACATTGCTTGTGGGAGAGAGATGGAAACATCAGTCTGCTGCTTCCCAAGCAACAAGAAAACATCTAGATCACTGTCACTTGCAGCAGCTAATGTCTAGTGAGCCAGGATTGGGGGACTTTTAGGATCCGTATGTATTCCCTACAATACTGAATATACTGTATAGGGATCAGGCCAGGATGCACTACTTCATTAAGTATACTTCAGTTTGGTACCTGATCTAGAATTTTTTGCCATAGCTTTTTAGTTATACTTTGTTTTATTTTTTTATAAGCCATCATGGCTCCTGCGTTGAAAGAAAAAGAGGATGCAAAATCAAGCAAGCAAACATACTTGTATGCAATGGCATTTACTTATAAGCACAGTTTCCCAATTTTGTGACAGTATTTTCATGTGCTATCAATCTGTTCCTATGAACCTAGTAAAATGCCCTGAGTCAGAAAACACACTTGCTTCCAAGGGCCTAACTCCTGTATTTCCTTTTTAATGGCTTCATTGTACTGCATTTTAAAAGGGTCTACTATGCCCATCACCTAATGAAAAGTGCTACTATGCGATACAGCTAATGGTGGTACTAAGTATCAAACAGTTATGGAGTTCCACTCCTTTCTTCACAACTGTACTAGTGTGATGGCTGTATGTTTTCTTTGAAGTGGAGCATAGTATTTGGTATCTTGGAAACTACAATACTTTCCATAGGTATGGAATTAACTGCTGTGTGAAATATATTTGTCCAAATGTCATAGCTCCCTTCTGGATCTAACACAAACCTCTTCCTCACACATGTACCTTTAGTTTAGGGAGGTCTTCTTTTGTTGTTTTTGTTCAAAAAACCATATGCTCCCCAGTAATTTCAGCAATATGATGCCTGATGTTTTAAAAGTCATGAACACTAATAAAGAAATTGCTATTTTATTAAGTTTTAATAGTGCTGGGGGGGAAAATCAAGGCATTTGAGAGCATTTGATAGGCATGCTATATAGTACAAAATTTAGGACTTTTCAAGGGGTAAACAGTTAAAATCCTTTGCAGAACTAAACTCAGAAACTGGAAGTAAGCACAGAGACAGAAAAGGTGTGATACCAATGGAGAGTTATGGCCTCCATGTTCCTAAAGGATGATGTACTTTCAGGTGGTATTAGGGCCTAGAGAAAATTAGCTCCACCGAAGGAAGGGCTGAAGACTTGAAGCCCTTTGGTCTCAGCAGGAGGAAGGAGGAGGAGAAAGGAAAAAGCAAGCTCCCCCAGCACAGCAGTAATGACGTTGTCTCAGGCAAAAGTTCTGGAATCAGAACTCAATGTATTTATTACCTTTGTTTCAAGGCGGCATATCCCCCTTTTTCCTCTCAAAAGCAAGATGGGTTAGGTTGGGGGGAAAATGAGTTTCACAACTGAATGGAGATTTGACTATCTAGTCCTAAGTTCCATCCACAATGCAGAAATAATGCAGTTTGATACTGGTTTAACTGTCATCGCTCCATGCTATGGAATTCTGGGATTTGTAGTTTGTTGTGGCACCAGGGTTCTCTGACAGAGAAGGCTAAATATCTCACAAAACCAGGAATTCCAGAAATCCATCGCATGGAGTGATGATCGTTAAATCAGTGCCAAATTGCATTATGTCTTCAGTGCAGATGCAGCCCTAGCCTAACATGCTGACCAAGCAGATCACAGTGGCTGACTTTAACTGAGAATCCTTACTACATTGATTGTAAGTTGTAGCTAATGTAGATATGTCATGGGAAACTCTTTAAAAAACTAAAAATATATATGCTAATGTGACACCATTAAACAACCTAAACTCTATTACACTTGTAAAGACAACTACAGAATTTTAAAACTTTTGCCTATGTGGAATTAAAACTGCTCACATAATGTTTATCTATTCCAAGACAATGCCTGTTATATAATCTATAATAAAAAATGAATCCTTCCCCGTAGTAAAAAGCACAGAACAAAAATCAAGACCTTCTTACCCGGTTTGATCTTACATCAATGGTCAATGGGCTAGGTTCTTCAGAGGTATTTTTATTCCCTGCCTTGAGTAGATCAGGAGAAGGAACTATAAGTTTTAAGAAAGTTTCCTTTTTGGCTTGATTTACCAAAGACAAAGGGTTCACATTGGACACCAATCCCGTAGACTGTATTACGCTTGTGTGTTTGTTCACAGATTCCTCCTTTGCCTGAGAGCTTTGGAAAATAAAGGGAAGCTGCTGTGACAAAACCTGAGGCTGCTTCTGCTGGGACTGGAATGATGGGTGAGTCTGGCTATCAGACACAAGAGGTATTGGCTGGTGTGTTCTCTTTTCCTGGGGCTTGTCCTGGACTTTTTGTCCATCCGCTTTCATGTCTGGTCCACTATGCATTAGCACCTGAAAAACACAGAATTTCATTTTGATTTGTGTTCGAATACATCATTTAACACACACACCCTTACATAATAAAAAGAGAATACAAAAGAAATAAAATAAATACTTGTGCACAAATATTTGAAAGCCAGCATGGTATAATGGTTTGAGTACTGGGCTATGACTCTGGAGACCAGGGTTTGATTCCCTGATTGGCCATGAAACCCACTGGGTTACCTTGGGCAAGTCACACTCTCTCAGCCTCAGGGGAAGGCAATGGAAAAACCCCTCCAAACAAATCTTGTCAAGAAAACCCCATGATAAGGGTCACCATAAGTCAGAAACTACTTGAAGGCACATTACAACAACAACAAGAAGCACACACCAATATGTAGAGAGAGATCTTGTAGCACCTTTGAGACTAACTGAAAGAAAGAAGTTGGCAGCATGAGCTTTCATAGACTTCAGTCTATCCAGTCAATGTTGAAAGGATGATAATGAGTTGCTAAATTGATCCCATTACTTGAAGGCACACAACAGCAACAACAACAACAACAAGCACACAACAAGATAAAGCTGAAGATTCATGTTGTAAGAATTATAATGAGTTGCTAAACTGGTCCCATAACTATCCAGTATAAAAACAATGCAGACATAGTTATTTATCGGGAGTATTTATACCCCGCTCTTTAGCCAAAAGGCTCTCATACAAACACAGACAGGAATGATAACTTACTCCTATTGTAATACTCTTAAAATAACCTTACAACAGATCTCCTCTGGCTAATGTCCCGTAAGGTCCTTCCGCTACGTGACGTTAAGGCACAGAAGGGAAAATAAAACAAAATAATCTGCTCTGGGGAATTCAGTTACTTTTGAACGTATGCCACCCGATGAACCTAACGGAACATTGAGGTTTACATTCTGGTTACTGGTTACTGGACAGTGCTAACTGCTATGTGAGGAAAAGAGCAGCTGTAAACAGAATCCAGTAGTCATAGCAACACTTCAGGACATCTGAACCTTTTGAGACTCAGCCAGCTAGCTTCCTTGGCCTGGTCCCTATTCCACGTTTTCCCAGTTTATGACAAAATAAAATGGCACTGGAGCCAGGGCTTTCCATTTGCAAAATAAACCTACGCTGCTTTGATTCTCTCTCTCTCTCATGACCATACATCTTCAATATCTGGGAGCAAATCCAATTGGCTTCACTAGGTCTTCTGGGTTGACATGCATAGGATTGCACTGGGCCTCCTTTAGCGAGAGGGAAGAGGATAATAGGATTGCACTGCATCTCTTTTTGCAAGAGGGAAGAGGCAAGTAACAATGGCCTAGCAGTGGCAGTGCCTAGCCATGCCACCATCCATTTTTTACTTTCCCCACACAGAAAGAGGCACTTCTGAAAAGGAAGTCCAAGCTAGCCGTTTTATCCTGGAAGTAACACTACTCTGTCCATGAGTTTTTACAGAGAGTGGAGAATTCTTCTGTGCAAAGTTTTCTGTGTTGTGTTCTTTTTTTTTCCAGACCTATTTTTTTTATTTTTTTTGGGTGGCGTTTTTCTCTGCATAATGGAACAGCAATGTCAACATTACATATATAGTCTGGCAAAACATAATAGAGACTTTCCTGGGCTTCTTTTCCTTTCATTAGTAGCCTCTTCTCCTGTTAAAGCAGATGGTTACTTGCCATGGTCACAGAACTCTCAAATGCTTTTAATTTCTGTTTTACCCACTGCAGCTCATTACTGCATTTTATTATCACAAATGCTGAAATGCAGTCTCTCCTTCTCTCTCTCTCTCTCTCTCTCTCTATATATATATATATATATATGAACTAGTAATTAAAACCACCATTCTCATTGTACAGGGATCAAGAACATAGGGATTCACTATGCTTTCTTTAACACTAGAGTGGCAATGTGCTTTCTCTATCATCCCCTGGGGTTGCCAGAGTAAAAAATGGAGAAGGCTCTGGTACATTTAATGGCTCTGTAGCAGATGGAGTTTCAGCAGGCATTGCTTCTTAACCTGGTTGCATGACAAGCTATTCCTGCTGAAATTCCCTCTTTTACACAGCCATTAAAGGTACAGGAGTCATTTCCGGTTTTCAGCCTAGCAGCCTTTTGCCTCATGTGGAAAGTGACACAGCTGAGGAGAGAGAGGTTTCTGCTTACATGGAGACTCTCCACTGAAAGTCATGAGATTCTTGATTTTCTAGGGGTTTTGCTCACAGGGAGAACCTCTACCTGAACAGGGACCTCTCCTTTTCAGAAGTGCCACTTTCTGTGTGGGAAAAGTAGCAATGGAAGGTGGCATGGCCAGGCACTGCCAGCCCACTCCACTGAAGGAAGCATGGTTGGTGGTGCCTGAAGAGGCCTTATTTAAACTGGAATTAAACAGCCACTCAGAAACTGAATAATTTAAGGGACTTTGCAGGCAGAAGTAGGGCCTTTGCAAAAAGAGTCTTATTTCTGAATAAACACACAGTAGGACCTGCCCACAGGTACTGATCCTACTCAATTTCTAATTAAAAATTGCTGCTTAATTGGGCCCAAACTAGGCATAATATTAGCTGTATGACTGTAACTGGTGTGCCACATTTTAGAGACATGGGGGCTTTGCAGACCGGCACAAAGGGCCGGCCTGGGGGTGGAGTTGGG